TTTTTTTTACACTTGGTTCATTAAAATCAATAATATGCAACTACAATCTGACTCTAAGTCTTGTCCTTTAGGTGTGTCTTATGTGGCATTTTTCAAAATGCATCAAAAACCACAAAAAATTATACAATTTGAAAGAATATTTATTTTTAATGTCTTTTCTAATGTTTATATATACATAAATTCACAAAATGTATCACAAAAGTTGTGATAGAAGCAGTTGGCCACATCCAGTAAAATGAATGGCTCTCTATGGCCCTCTGCTGGTCAAAATAATTTCTTTCCTAAACTGTAGTCCTTTTAGGTTTATTTCTAACCGGCAGATGGCAGAATTCTACACCTTACACCTAGATCAATATCCAGAAGCAACTTAAATTAAATTTAGGTCATCCGTTAAGTGATTTTTTCGTAAAAAATTAATATTTCACATGCAAGCTAATGGTGTAGTTGAGGGATTTTTTGGTAAATAGGTACAAAAGTACTTCATATCTCCCAAAACACAGCATTAATGTATAGATGAGAAGTAAACAAAAAAAGTGATATATTATTTGTATGATTAAAAATGTTAATATTTTTCACAATTACTCTTTCAATGTTTGGGGTCATATTGACCCCAAGGGACTTAAGTGTAAACAGGAAATGAGGGACGTTTGAGGGTTAAATAATTGCTCACGAGTATGTTGTGTTATTTATGTGTGCATAATGTGTGTTACTACAGTGTGAAATTAAAGCAGTGGTATGGCTATCATACTTCTATGAATTTAAAGAAAAAAAAACTTATTAAATTGCTAAATCTATTAGACATCAATAATCAGCATATGAAACTCAACAATAGTGACAAACAACAAAAGAAAACTTCATGCTGAAATGCATGGTGGGTATCAACATAGTACAAAACTCATTCATGACTCCCAGCATGCATTGCAGTTGATCTGTTTATTTGAATTAGTTATTATTAGAGAAAGTCGAGTGACAGGCCAACCAATCACTCGAACCAGAGGGTACAGTCAACATTGTATCGTCGTCCTCGTCCTACTTCATCCACTGCAGCACCAAATGAGACCAAGTCCCATGCATCATCCGAGGGGCAGGTTTGAAACCGGTTTGAGCAATGAGCATGCAGGAATTGAGTTGATATGTGTTCATCGGAGGGGCCTACTGCACGTGGCCTTCTCGGCCTTTTCTCCCACGGCTTGATGGCGACGGGGGGTGGAGTGCTTTGAGTTGGAGCTCCGTCAAGTAAATTCTTTATCATCTATTTTTAATCTAATATAAATTTTATACACCATCATTTTCATTTCTATAACGTGTAAATATGTCCCCTATTATATGCTACAACAAAAGCAATCAAAGCTTCACTATCACTAGTTTTATTTTGATTTCCTGAGTCTGATACTATCTTATAGCCAGTTAGCATCGCCAGCATGGTTGCCGCTAATCTTGCCTAACTTGCTTACACTCTATTCACACACATTACCATTGTTTTACTCACTGTTACTTGCCTTAATGGCGGATTTGTGTCTACCTTTGAGTGCAGGTGAGGACACGTTCGAGCTGCACTCGGTGCAGCTGAAGCTGGAGGCTGTGGAGAAGCAGGCCCAGCTGAGAGAGCGGAGAGCCACACTGGAAAACATCCCAGGCTGACGCTCACAAGTCCAAGGTAAGTTTACAGCACGATACTAACACTCCCACCACATCTGTGTTTCTCTGCACAGGCCCCGTGCATCCAGGACGCAATCTTTCCAGGTCTCCTTTATTCCGGCCCTGGGACACAACAGACCCTGGGTGCACCAGCAGCGGAAGACACGAGCCGGGCCCCGGGCGAGGACCTCTCCCCCTCTGCTGCCTCCGGTCTTCGAGATCTCCAACTGGAATCACTTCGCTCCCCTTCACGAGACAGAACACGATGCTGTGATCATCGGAGACTCCATCATCCGGCATGTCCGTGCTACCCTAGCTAAAGGTAAAGTGTACACTCACTGTTTTCCTGGTGCTCATGTTCTTGATGTTTCTGTGCAGATACCCGCAATCCTGAAGGGCGAGGAGAGCACCAGAGCGGTTGAGCTGCACGCGGGGTGAACGACATCAAGCTGCAGCAGACAGAGACTCTGAAGAGGGACTTCAGGAGCCTGATCGAGACGGTACGCAGCACATCGCCCGCAATGAGGATCTTTGTGTCAGGACTGTTTCCCATGTATCGACGAGGACACAAAAGGCTCAGTAGACTTTTTGTTCTAAATGAATGGTTATTGTCATGGGGTAAAGAACAGATCTTGGGGTTAAAAACTGCTCTTTGTTAATAATTGGAACCTTTTCTGGGAGCGACCTAGGCTTTTCCATGTTGATGGCCTGCACCCCAGCAGAGTCAGAGTGGAACTCCTGTCGGAAAACATCTCCGTAAGCCAATTATCAAATAACTGCTATGATGGCTTTTGTTCTATCCACCTAAATGATAGAAGTACTCCCTGATAGCAAGAAACCACTGAATCAATGTTAAAAATGGTTGATTTGTCAATGTTAATTGCATTGAATCAAAATCACTTTTGCACCGGCAATTAATGTTGAAAATTTTTTGAAATTTCAACAAACCACCATTATTGTGATCAATGTTTGCTTTAGTTGGACTCTTGATTCATTGTACTTTAATGTTAGGTTTTCATTGTCATTTGTAACAATGTGCTAAAACACATTGTTTATTGATCTCGAAAACTACGATCAATTGGGATCAGGTGATGATAACTACAATAATTGTGAGGTTATTTAAATAACTGCTCGCTAGTGTGTTGTGTTTTTTGCACGTGAATAATATGCGATACTACAGTGTGAGATTAAAGCAGTTGTAAGGTCCGCCCATTTGTCCAACGACGGCAGTCAATGGCACGGCAGAAGGATTTTTGCACGTTGCTGTGTTTTCCTTTATGCAGCGCAACAACATTAAAATAATTTTTTTTTTCGTATATGTATTGCCTCTTTTAACTCATCTGACTCCAAAAATAAATAGGGTTTTAATGATTTTCAAGAATTTATTAAATTTAGATAAATGTTTGAAAGTTCTTGATTTAACTCTTTATTTAATAATTTGTTTGTTCAGATTCTCATATCGCTCAGGGATATCGCATCGGCCGTTAGCGTACCCCACGATCACATACTCACCAGTCTTGATTGTTAGACAGAGGTAATTTACTAATACTTTTCATGGCTGCTCCTAAGCGTTCTCATTCTAACAGTATTTTTGCTTAGTCCCCTTAGATTTCTACACACTTGAATAAAGCAACATTATCTCTAGTCAGAGGTCATGACCACTACTAAGATATAAGCCGACCAACATTACTTTCTCTAATAATAGCTCTGGTATGGTCATGCCATGGTTTCCCATGTACACTTAGCTAGAGTAATATTACAATAAACAGAGCCTCTGCAGTGTCCTGTGTTTAGATGGAAATGAGGGGAGAGAGGGGGAGAGTGAGTAAAGGAAGTGGAGGTGGAGGGTCATGCATAAGGTGTGGAGCTTTTGTTTCTCTCAGTTGGGTGTGTTGTCTTATGCTTGCAAGACAGAGTTAAGGTGTTGATTCTCGTAAGAGTTCCTTGTCTTTTCAGACTGTGGCCTTCTTCTGCTCCAGCCAAATGGCATCAATAATCTTACAGACAAATGCCATCAATAATCTTACAGTTAAATGGCCCCGTGGGCTATTCATAGGGGTTCCTGTGGGGACATTACTATTTGCTTTTTGCTTGGATGCTTTCTGTCGTCAGAGTTTTCATAGTGCTGGCACCTGTAACGGGCTGAGGACCAGGGCCATGTTGGTCGATGTCTTTAGAGATCTGATGAGGCATCTGAAATAACAGCATTGGAACAATGTGAAGGCGAAGATGAGGGCACTGCCGACAGCACACCCCTGCAGTATTCAGTCTATGTGTAGGCACTCTCAGGGCTGAACGGGTAGATGAGCTGGACAGGATTTTTGCAGTTTTTTGAGCCAGGTTCGTCTCTACCTGTGCTTGTGAAAGGTGGTATTCAGTCTGTGAGATGATTCTCTGCACCAAATCCATCGTGTCAACCAGGGCCTGTGTTCCTTGTTCATAGAAGGTGTCATCCCACCATGGGGAAATTTCTGCATCCAGTGGCATCCTTCCAAGGATGTTAATCTGGCCCATTGAGAAATCCTCAGTTGCCTCTAAACAAAACGAGTGGTTAGTAGGACAGGTCAGTCCTCCATACGTGAAGGAATTCATCTCACTGACGACACACCACTGCGTGTGAGACACCTGAATAGCATCAGAGTGACCGTGTAACGATTGAACATTTATAAGCTTGCTGTCATTGGAGGAAAAAGGTTGTAACGTGTTACATGTACATACAACATAGTTGTGGGTCTCATGACAACAAGTGCGACTGGTAAACAAGGTCTCAGTACCCTTTAAGGTCATGTATCCGGTAAGATGATCCCATTTAATTACCTGGTCTTTCACTACCATGCCAATCGATCGAATAGTGGTAGAATTTGGATAGACTTGATCTGGATGTATCAAGGGAAAGGTGACAAAAAATCCAAGGCATCCATTACATTCATTACCAGTGTACATCATAACGGTTGATAATAATTCAGAATATTTCACATTTTTCATTTTTTCTGATGAAAGCCA